CAGATATTTCCTAAAAAATCTCCTTTCCCATTAAAGATTTTTAGAATATTTGCTGTTGGAAAAAGAGACAGTCACGTCTCCATCTCTTACAAACGGTGGTATAGTTATGACAAGCTTTATATTAAGGAACTGATTGATTTAGCTTATTTATGCAATGGTGAAGATCGGAAACCTAAGCAATATTGAAGAAGTATTTAATATTGATCTCTGCAATTGAAACAACTACTCAAGAAGACGTCGGAGGAGACGTTACCTCAAGAGGACTACTCAAGAAGACGTCGCCTGAGCATCAGTTTCAAGTACTGCAAGAAACTACTGCATTCTCAACTCATGAATGTTCTTGAAACTACCATTCACTAAAAAATATAATGCAGAAAACTCTTTTTAGAATAACGTTTGATACACAAACGATAAAGAGATGCGGTATTCACCAGCTTATAGAAAACACCGGGGGAAAACTATTGGTAAAAGAAAAGATCCAAAATCCTGGTGATATACATGTGGTATACCTGACTGATTTTCTGTGGACAACGCTTTCGTTTCTTGAGTTTCCATAGAAACCTATAGTTTCAAAGATGCAGAACATACCCTGACATCTATACTCCACATCCATGCAAGTCCGGGACTTCCATCTGCCACAATTCCAGCGTGGTCGAATTTCTTAGAAGGCACCCCGATCAGGAGACCTTGATGTCTGGTAATCTCGGAAGTAGATTGAGCATAGATTTAATTTACAATCCTTACATAACAACTTGGTAGAAGTCTTGTATAAAATGTTACAGACTTCATAAAATTACTCGGATATCTTTCTTTTTATTTTCATGCTTTTACCTCGATATAGCAGTCAAAGTTCTTCTATCTGTGGAGTATAATCTTTTAATATGTTTCAGTATATTAATCCACTTATTCGATAATTAATAGATGTATTTAACATGTCTGACGAATTTTAGTGTGATCCAGCTGGTTATCTAATAGAATTATGCATCCAATTGCTCATTATTATGATCAAAAAATAGATTGTAAACAGCGTAATTGAATATTTGCGAACGTGTATATCAGAGCTGGAACCGGTCCGGTAAACCGGTATCGGACAGGATCGGACCGATTGAAAAAGTCAACCGGGCCGGTAGAGACCGGTATTTCGTCAATTGAACCTTTTGAAACATCTGCTCTTTTTACCCTGTTTTTCGTCAAAATACTAAAATTTCACGTCTTTTCCAGTCAGTGTAAATAAGACGATGCTCAAGACAGATATTACTTTCATCACTTGTTTTAAGGTTAAATGTTACAGACTCGTTATTGTGAAGGTTCTCTCACATGTGCTCGCATGCTGATTCATTTCTAGAGGAAATTCTTTCTGGAAATCGATTTTCAAAAAACTTCGCCAGTTTTATGCCGATATTTTACAGGTTTTTCATCGGTTTGAGTTATAATTCCAACTAACCCGTTTACCGGTCGGACCAGTCCGGTTACACTTTCAGACCGACCGGACCAGTTTACAGTTTCTTAACCGGTGGTATAAACATTGGATTTTTCAAAAAATGTTTTATTATCAGATTGAATTTTTGAAAAGTATACCGCAATTTCAAACGAAAGAAAGACATACTTAAACAATGAGAAAGAGATTCTTTATTAATAAATTTCAGTTGTCTGACATACTTTGAAGCATATCTGGAAATAAGTAAAAATTAGTCAATGATTCTAATAATTAACAATGTGATACAAGTTTGGCTTGACGCATGAAAGTTTTCATCAATATATAGACGACCGATTGCTTTCAAAGCAGTTCATGTAGGTTAGTTTGTCTTCTTACTTGTTAAAAATCTAATAATACAATGTCAGATGATCGACTAAAATGAGGATTTCTGCTTATTTCTATGATAATAACGATAAGTTGATTAAATTGCATTATAATTCGGTGTATTACCCTACGACTATCTCTTTCTTTGCACTTCTTCAGAAGTGAAGTATCTGATAAAGAAAAGCTAAAATAGATCACGTTCATGGATTCGAAAGATCTAACTAGTACTTGAACAGTTTGTCTTACACACTTTTTTAGTGAACTTTCATACCGGACGGGGGTAAGCATTTTTAATACTTTAATTCAGATAATTCGAACAAATAATGTAGTTTCCTCTGAATCTGTCAGTTACTGTGAGTTATTGTGTCTCGTTAGACCCAAGTATAAAAAGTCAGATTTTCTACCGACAATGTTCTATCCCGAAGTTCACATAGATTTTTATTTTTATTTAGAGATGTGGAACCATATCATGAGCAAAATTTCGTCGATATTAGTTTGAAGATTTGTTATCAAATGAAAAAATACTTGAAACTATTCGCTATCTAATAGAGGTCTTCATAAGATCATTTATTATATAGCAGTGCTCAACAATCTAAGTATTTTGCAAGACAATATTTGATTCACTCTTCAGGTTTTTTTTATCAACTGAATGACATTGAACTATTGTCAGTGTGTTCAAGCTAAATAAACTAAGTATATATTTTTATATTGTAAAATGATCATTAATTTCAAACACCAGACAGTTTCTTTCAACGAATGTGACATGAATAATAAAGATCACACAAAGTTTACGTTTATGTAGCGAAATTTATTTTCATAATCTCAACTCTTTTTCATACATTTGTCACTTCAAAATTTATTTCAAAAATAGATTACCGTACAGCTGAAGTTGATTTATCAAGTTTAGTTGATTAAATTACTTGGAGATTGTCTATGTTTAACGTCGCTGAGACCACAAACGTCTTCCCCGCACAATGTCACATTTTGCTAGTAAGTTGTGGAAAAAAGCTCAGTCGGCATTCATTATTGTTTTTGTGGTAGTCTTCAGCTAAGATGTTATATGAACAGTGATAACTCTCGTTACTTTTCAGCAAGTCATTTATTTCACTGTGTACGTCATGTAATGGATTATTCCTAGTATTTTAAAAAGAGTTTAGAAAAAAATTTGATCATGAGAATTATCTTGCACAAACTGCAGGATAAACAAATTCTACGTGAAAAATCAATTTAAAAATGTGGTTGAAAAATCGTACGTCATGTCAACAATACAAAAAACTATGAACAATGACGATGGCACTTTAATAACATGTCAGAATTATATTCAAAATGACAATGGACAGTGACAGTAAACAGGAAGTTATGTTATGGTAGATTGAAGATGAGTCAATTTTGTGAAAGTATATATGACAATACTTTTTCTTTTCCTGTTTTTCTGTGATACATTTTATCTAATACTCTCATAAATCATTTTTCTAGAATGTTTTTCTCCTATAATTCTATCATAGATTCTCATTAAATATATGTTTTCTTTCTTAACTTTTCTCTCAGTTTTATTAAAGATATAAAAGAAATTTAATTCTTTGAACGATAAAAGTGCGTAGTCTTCTAAAATTAGATGATAAAAATGTTGACATGCTTATTTCTCAAATAAGCATCCTAGTAAATTTAAAGTATATCCAAAAAATATTTAATTTGTTCTGAAGAAACAACAATGTTATTCTTTGAAGTTCAACTATAACGAGTCAGTAAAAAATATTTAACGGCCTGTATATAGATAACGCGATGACACATTCTCATAGTTATGAACAGCAGTAAAAGCAAATGGTGTACACTTTGGTGACTTCTATACGTAGTGTAAAAAGTTTTGAGTTGTAAAGTGATGACCAAAAGTAAAAGTTCTCATTGATGGCCGTTGAAAAGTTATGATTTTCTCTCAATGTAAATGTCAATATTGATGAGAGAATCTAGCAGAGGATTTTTAGGTATAACGCACTCTCTAAAAACAATCCGTAGCTTACAAAACAAATATCGGTTTTGACATTTGCTTCTAGTAGAAATCGATATCCGTATCGGGCAGTCCGGTTTAAACATTTCGCAGAATACGCTTGAATGTTTTTTCTCTGATAAAAAACTTAAACCTCCGTTTCTTTACAAGACAAAAAGACGTTCAAGCGTATTCTGTGAAATGGTTAAACCGGACTGCACGATACGGATATCGCTTTCTATTAGAAGCAAATGCCAAAACCAATATTCGTTTTGTAAGTTACGGATTTCTTTTTAAGAGCAGAACTGTTGAAATATCGAATAGAAATTTTAATCAAATATCTGATAGTTGATCTACAGATCAAAGTTAAAGAAACATGATGACGCCCTTTTTATTCTCAATTATACGATGCAAAGAATAGTTTACTTAAAGGATAAATTCAGTTCATTTGCACATGTACTGTTAATGTGTGAAAAAAAATGTTCATGAATATATTAACGGTATAAATATACAATAGTTGAAAAGAAGAGTCGAGATGATCGAATACTGCGGATATTGAAATCCGAGGTGGATGACTAAACTCATGAAACTATTTTCATTTTATGAAATTATATTATAAGCTTTGAACACCACAAGACATACTATTTTACAAAAATATCGTGAATATTTTGTCAAATAATGTTAACAAACTTTGGTCATGCATGGTATATCGTTATTCGGACAAGCCGGCTAGTTAATTAAAATGACAATGTTTATATTATTATTAAACAACGAATTTAAAATCAGTCAAGCATAAAAACTGTTTATATTTATTTTCTCCTATCTCTTGATTATCGTATAGATTGGAATTTATATCTGTTTCAATCAATTATTGAATTTTCTTTTTTACACAATGACTAATTTATATCACCCCCATTGTGTAGAACAAACTACTTTTGGTTAAGAAAACTTTTTTCAAAATATTCATGAAGTTTTGTTGACGCTTTTCGAAATTGAACATATCGTAGACTGACCATTTTAACTATATTGAACAAAATTGAACATTTATATGTGTACGAGTCATTGCATTTGTATAGAATGAACAATATGAATATTGAAAAGGAGTAGAAAAAAAATACGATATATCAACATATGTAAATTGCATGGTTAATGTTCAGACTATAGATTTTAAATAAATGAATATGCAATTTTGATTGAGTTGGTTACTTTCAAACTATGAGTAAAACGAGTAGTGATGATCAACAGCGACATGCGGTCTATGTCTGTCGACAGCCGTATATTGTTCGTCGTGAACTTGGTCGTGGAAAAACGTCATCAGTATTTAAAGGACTGGATGTTACTGCCAATTATTTTCCAGTTGCCATAAAAGAATTTCATATTAGTCGTCATGATCCGAATGCATGGGAATCTTATGCAAATGAAATACAGTTATTAACTCATTTACAATCGACTAATCGAGTTGTACGATTAAAATCTTATGAATATAAACCAAAATTTGGTCGAGCCTATATTGTTATGGAATTGGGTACTCCGTTACGTCGATATTTGAAAGAAGATGAACCAATTGAAGAACCATATCGCCGTTTATTTTGGACAAAAATGATTGATGCATTGGCATCATTGCATGTGACAGGAATTATTCATGGTGATATTAAACCCGATAATTTTCTTCTTGATGCGTTTGGTCAATTGAAAATAATCGATTTTGGTTAGAGTTTAATACAGAAACTAATCATATATAACATATTTTCTGTTTTTTCTAAGGTTTTGCGTTAACAGTTCCTCCCGGTCAATATGGTGTGGTATATCGACAACGTGGTACAAGAAATTATCTATCGGTAAATTCTGTTCTATATTATTTTTCAAGTTAGAAAAAGAAAAGAAATAGAGTAATACTAAACCAAGAACAATTTCATAAGATTTTACAATATCTTGATAACTTTTTTTAAAATTATTTCAGGACAAAATATGATATCTATTTCTAGCCTTTTATTAAAACAGTAATCGTATCCATGATACATATCTGTTTTTCTCATTCATTTTAGCCCGAAGTAGCCGCAACATCAAAGCCATTCTACACTCATAAAGGTAAAATGTTATGATTAGATATAAAAATATATTTTATCATTACTTTTTTAAGTGGATATATGGGCTATGGGATGTATTCTTTATGAAATGACATATGGTTTTTCACCATTTCGAGATATTGAAAAAACTATAGACAAAATAGATGCAATCAAAAATCCATACCATCAAATTCCTGTCTCACCGGATACAGATCCCTGGCTACTTGATCTATTGACTCATCTACTCGATAGAAATCCAATTACAAGATATTCAATTGACGACATTCAAAAACATCCTTATACTACGATAAGAATGTAGGATGAGAGTTACACATCGTTTTACAAATACGTGAAAGCACTTTCTGCTCGTAAATTAAAATTTTAACATTTTATGATCGTTCATCTTTACAAAACATTTATGTTTTCAAATTTATGTATTAAATATTTGTGACTGTTGTCATCAATCGGAAGGACCGTACCTACTTGAAAAAATAAATATCAATCGGTACTCATTATCTTTGAATTTTTCTTTGCATATCTTTGTTCGTTCTATTTAAAAACTTTTGATCAGTTGTTTGCGATCGATTGAACACATTCTTTTAAACAATCTATTTCTATTATTATAGTGTACAATTTTGACGTTATTCAGAATTTTCAATGATTACGTAGAAATGAAGGAATATTTATGTTTCATATATTTTTTTTGTCCTGTGTTATGACTTATGACAAAACATTTCCAGACGACTTCTCAAACGATTTTACATTAAAATACAGTTATTTTATCAATTCGAAGATACTGATTACAAATATGATATTCATTGCGAAATATTTAGAAGATTCCTGGAAATTGATCTTTGAAAAACCAACAAAAAATTTAAATATGACAGTTTTTTAAGATTCTTTTGAAGTATACGTCAAAATACTTTAAATTAATGATAAGATTATTTTTGGTTAGTATTTCGCAACGAATATTATATTTGTGATCGGCATCTCCGAATGGATAAAAAAATAACTGAAATTTTTTAATCGGAAGGATCAATATATGAACCTTACATGGTAAATAGAAGAGAGTCAGGACTGCAATGTGATAATTCATTATCATATGCCCCTGGGTAATGTGCTAATTTGGATCTATAGACTAATATTAAAAAATTAATTAAACATTTTTGCACCTTATTTAAACATTAGTCCGTTCAATACTTATCCTTTATTTTAAAATAATTAAACATTTTTCTATCTTACAACAAGAAAGATATTTATTAGTTCAGATAGAAAAATATTAAATTGATTTTTAATATTCGTCATTTAATATTTTTCTTTTTAACATTTTTCCGTATAACCGCTAGTTTCTTATGCTCATGAAATACATTGCATTTTACTATTCAAGAAATGATATATCTCAACAAGGAAGTAGTTGAGGGTTTGAGAATTTCTAAAAAAGATCAACATTAGTTGTAATCAGTCAAAAGTTTAAACCGTAGTAGTGTCATAACCAAGGGGGAGATAGCGGACTCCTGGACTCCTGGACTTCGGGAGTCCAGGAGTCCATAGGAGTCCAGGAGTTCGCTATTTCTCCCTTGGTCATAACATACATACGAATTTGCTCAAGAAGGTTTGTACAAATAACTCCATCATATAGAGCAAAATATTTCTGAACAAAATGAGACGTCTTTGAGCACTCTAAGACATTTTTTCATGAAACAGTATTCGGTTTACGAAAGATTCCATACTATCATAATTAGCAAAATTAACGGAAAAACGCGAAAGCTATCAGAGGTGGGATCGGTTCGTATATTTTTATAACCGAAGCGAAATAAACCGAAACACTTCCAAACCGAACCGAATCGAACCGAACCGACCTGATTTCTTAAAACTTTTAAACCGAACCGATCCCACCTCTGAAAGATATACTCTCATGGCCTTTCGTAAATTGAATGCTGTTTCATGAACAATATCGTAGAGAGCTTTGAAAATTTCGATGAACCCTCTATATACACAGCACCAGATTGGAAATTCTTTCAGCTGTTCAAATCTTTTTTCGAATATATTCTAGGTATTATGGTTGAAGAGAAAAATTAAAAATAAAGGTGGACGAATAATTTTTCCAGCCACTATATATATTCATTTTTATATATTAACATCTTCATTTGAACGTGTTAAATTATTTTGGTAACAAAAAAGTGATCAATATAAACTTCCCCAGAAGCACTTTCATTAAACACTAATAATATATTTAGAATCAACGCACCGAACTGCGTCGAATGAAACGTCAGTTGTATGTTTTTATGCGTAAAAAGTTGTTCGATTTAATACAATGGTAGATTTGCAGCATTCCCGTAGCAATTTTAACTAGGCACTAGGATTTTTGATTTAGAAGCAGTTTGAAAGCTTGCGATAAAAGTATAGTTCAATAAACGATCATCCAAAAGACCATGGTTTGGCGAGACACATTAAAAGACCACTAGTCTTCTATTCCGGGAGGGAGAGGCACAGTGTACATCCATTATGTACATCAGTGTGCAACGTTTTTCAGATACAAAATTTCAACGTAAACTATTAATAAAACTTTTTCTTAATCTAATACTGCAAGTATACTACATCCTCAAACGTGATTAAAATTCATCATGAATAAAGTTAATTTTGTAGTGTTACCACATCGTTTTCTAATCATGGATGTTTTCCAATCACGAGCAAAAGTTGAATTATTATTAAGAACACAAAATAAACACAGAAATGGGGTTATAATCGCCTCAACTATCTTTCAGTTGGAATCATGAACAGTGTTATCTTAGCGAACGTTATTTACAAAGAAGAGTAATAACAGTGAAGAAAAAATATAGAAAGAAACATGTTCCAAACTGCGATAAATTGCTGTTTTTTTCCCATTGTTGAATTGTTTGACAAAAATCAGAAGAACTGTTTGACAAGGTAAAAAAAAATTTTTTTGAAATCGATGTTCAAAAATTTAAGAATGATTTTACGCATTGCTTTTGTTGCTTATTTTTTCAGGGCCAATTTAATGTTGTTAATGAAGTAATGAAGTAATAAACCACAACAATATCCCAAAGCTGACACAAGAACATTTAGGCAAAAATATCTTCCATTCGCCTCAAGAAATGACAATATAAGATCAAGTTTTAGTCTTGTTTTTATGACAGCGACATTGCTATCCATGGCATCATTAGTTTATTTTATTATATGCACGGCTACCCCGGACACAAAAGGTGTTTTGTGTCCTTCTTTTATAACAAGAAAAGCCGCATTTGAGCCGCAAAATGCAATAATCAGTAAAACTGAGACCCTGGGTGAGCATCAGTTTGTGTCAGAAATGGTATTTCACACCACTTTCATCTTTATAGGAAGTAGTAGTTTTAGAACAGAAGTGAGAAACTTATCACACGCTCGCCATTCTATCCCTCCTTGTTTCGAGAAAGTTTTAGTAAAATTTAGTGCATCAGAAACTTGCATAGGGGTAATAGAGATAGCTAATTCATCACTAACAACAAGTAGTTCATCACTGTACAATAACTAACAGATTGCATGAACCATACAGAATTGTTCTGTAAAGGGCATTTCAGCAGAAATTGTACTCTCAATATTTTCTGTTGAAAGATTTGAGTTAATTCTACCTATTAAAATATGAAAATCTAACTAGCCATTTTATAGTCCTGGAAAAGCTCTATATTGTTCCGTATATTTTCACATTACAAATGATTAAAGGAGATGTCTTTTCCTTTTTGTTTTGCAAAAAATAATTTTTTCCTAAATCATTTTTTCATTCCAATACATCAGACTCTAGTTAAACTCGTACAAAATTAATCCTTAAAAGTCAGAATTAATTTTATTTAAACGAGAAAAAATATATCTAAAGAGACTAAAGGATTTCAATCGAGTCTTAAACAAAATCTATTATACACTAGCAGAAACAGCTCATTTGAAGCATTAAAAAATACACTTGACATAGTTTGATGCTTTGCGCTAAAGTAATATTATAAATTAAATAGTTCTATATTTCTTCATTCAGGTTTTCGCTTCTTCACATCGTAGTGTCACGCTCAATAAATTTTATGTAGAAGACTAAATGGCAAACCAAATCAACTAAAAGCGGTAGAACGAAAGAAAGACATTAAAGGAAGAATTTCTTGTTCCGAAACATTGGCTAGACGTAATCTATTACTTGATGATATCAAAGTAAGAGATTGATTACACTCTTTTGCTGCTTCGAATTACGAACTATTTTTTTCAGCCTTGAATGGTTTTCTACTGATGGTCTAATCACAACGGCTCGCATTATCGTTAGTAGATCAATGGGAACAAAGGACCAAGACTAACATCGAAACTAATGAACGAAACAACATCACGTGGCACAACAACATCATTTTAAAATCATAGATTTTAACTTCAGCTCAGATTGCCGTAATTGCTGGATTATCTGTTGGCCTGTTATTAATTGCTACTGTAATAGCCATAATAATATTTTTACTAAAAAAACGTTTAGCAAAATTAAATGCAAGTAGAATCGGTGAGGGATTTACTGATACAGAAGAAACAGTTGTCATCGATTCAGAGATTGGTACTTCAACAGTGGCTGTCGCAGCAAGTGCTGATTCTGAATTGTGAAGAAATATATGTACGATTTGTTATTGTTTAAAAAGATCTGTATGTGCATGTCGCATCGAAATACCGTCTGTATTTATTTGATATTAATATTTTTACTGGAAATAACATATAAATATCATACTTGAGAGCGTTTGTTTTATGACAATCAGTAGCAAAATTACAATAAATAAATAAATAAAAAATGTGACTTCAGGAACAGAAAAAAAGCATATAAACTTAGCGAGACAATTCTCTCATTTCTTGCCCTTTTATAGAATCTTAACGCCTAATCCGACGGAAACAGTCAGATTTTTACCGGAGTGTCTTCTCAAAGAATAAAATACATATATTTTTTGCTCAGGGCTTAATTCACTTTAAGATAAAAGATCGAATGTAGTTCTCGTTTCGTTTCATAATCCAAGCTATGATGCTCAAATTTTACCGAAAAGAGATGTGTCTTCCGTATCTTCTATTCTCCATAGTTGAAGTCCATAGTTGAAGAACCTCTATTAGGTGAAATCACCCATTTTTGCCTATTTTCGCGTAAAAATTAGAAAATTCATTACTCAGCCACAATCTCTCCAGACTACGTCAGAATATGGAGATATTCTCTGTTTTATCTAAATTATATTATGGAATTGGATGAAAGTTTTAATTTAAGAATCAAAAGAAAATACTTTGCTTTTTGAAACGGTTTTATAGAAATCTTTTGAAGTAAAAGACTATTTTTTATTTGTCTTAAATACACAATCAGATGGAGCAGATAGAATAGAGAATATCTCGGTATTCTGACGTAATTTGGAGAGATTTTGGCTGAGTTATGCGTTTTCTAATTTTACTTGAAAATAGGCAGAAATGGCGGATTTCACCCAATAGTAGTTTTCACTAGGTTTCTGTAATTTTTTCGAAAAACAACCGTTGTCACGAAATTCAGCGTAGTCGGTAACCTATGTTTCCAGTTATTGTCGGGATTTCCCGAGTTGAAAAGAGATAGATCTGTTTCAGGCTAACTGGATCCTCTTCGTAACCGCGAAAGCTACCGACCTCGAACTTGCCCAGATCAGAAGAGGATATTCTGACCTATTTAACCATTTAAGTTGAGTTGACAGTGTAATGGGAATTTTTGAAATGGCAGTTGAATCCAAAAAGATTTGGCAAGTACACCACCTGCAGGTTGTATTTTTAACATCTTTTTGATAAAAGATCGGCATGAAACGAAACGATTAGGTAGACAAATGTCGACAAGAAAGCGTCGATAGATAAAATGTCGACAGGGTAAAATGCCGACGTATAAATTGAATGAATATCACAACGAATTATCAAAGCTTATTGGCACAAAATGAAAATTATACGAATGCGTTGGTACATGTATGACTCTAGCTCTTCGTTCTCACTCAGATGCATTTTTATTTTATTTTTCATTGACATGTATTCGAATTTTACCTAATAAACCATAAATTTAATTTATTCATGTTCCAATTTTATTTTTTCATCATCAGCTTCTTTTCTTTGTATTTCATGATGTCGACCTTTTACATTGTCGACATTTGATTTTCGACATTTTACCATCGACGTTTGACTACTTTCCCAACGAAACAAGAACTGCGTTCGGTCTTTTATTGCAACAATATTATCAATAACATACTAAAAGGGCAAGAAAATTCGAATAAAAATAAACAAAATAAAATTTTGTACTGTATATAGATATCACAAAATCAGAAAAACTTGAAAGCAACTATTCATAAGAAAACTTTCGACTGGCATTCTTTGCAAACGCAACGTTGATGTCTTTTCCAAAAGCGAAAGTATACAGTTAACATATCTTAACTAAAGGACTCATTTCATTTTCGTCCATCAGACAAACTTATTAAATAAAAGTCTGTTTTCTAAAGTACAAAGACTAGTTCTACATCGTAAGAAAAAACATTTAATACTTCCACATTGATATTATTAAATTTCAATAGAAGAACACGGAGTTTCACTAATATATTCTGACCAATAATAATTTTAATTTAAATATATATTGCCAATAATAAATCGTCATCTCTCATACAACTTTTTCAGAATTCATTTCAACTGTTACAAACATCACAAATAACCACCGTCTGTTCGCCCTAATTGGTCAAATACGTGCAGTTCTTCAATTTTCATATACTAGCTGTCGATCAGTAAGCGTTAATTGACATGACGTTAGCTAACCGTCCTTACCACCAATATACATCTAAAATATGTCGAATTAAAACGCGCATTTTAAGTTTACAATGTGATAACGATCAAGAAACTCACACTAACATCTGCTGCCACATCCG